TTTACTTCTGATCTCAAATTAGAAGTTATATAAGATATTTAGAAATATTCTATGAATATAGAAGATAAGTATAAATAATTTGTATGATATTCAAATTTTGAGTTACATATTTATGAACAAAGTTATGTATTTTCTTACACAAAATTTTATCTCGTCAAAATCGTATAATTATATTCTATTTATGATCCTAAATTTTGAATTTTTTATAGAAATATATTTATGTATGTAGATATATTATACTTATGTTTATAATATATAAACCCAATAAGTTTTAATATTGGTATATATGTATATGATACACTTTACTAAATTTTAATCTATCATGAAAATGTGTTATTATTTTTATATGTTTTTGTTTTTATTTTATCAATACAATCCAAAAATATTGCTTTATTTGAGTTAGTTGGGTTTAGAAAATGAGTTATATATATGTTCTTACCAATTTCTTTATCCATCAATATAAATAGTATTGTAGAAATTAAATTTGTATTATTAGTAAGGTTATGATTTTTTTATTTGAAAATTATATCATAGTTTTAATTATAATTATGCTATATATAATCTTTAGTAAGAGTGATATCTAGTTGAATTGGAGGAAACTCTAGATATTATTGTGAGTCAGTCCAAATTTTTTTACGACTTTTTCCAAAATAAAAATATATATTTTTTTAAATTAGTTTCTAATTCTAATATTATCCTAAATCAATTGAATTCTATGAGTATAGATATTCTCTAAACCTATAAAAGAAAAAAGTAATTTTTTGTCTTTTTATTTTCTTTCTATTCTAATGTTAAGAAAAACAGAAAATATAATAATATATTTTATTGAGTTAAAGGCTATTTCATAAAGTTAGCTGAAAAAAATTGTAATTTTTGATTAAAAAAGTGTGTAATATCATCAGTCCCGATTAAATTTCATACACCATTCCCTTAATCCTCCTCTCCGTCTCTCTCTTCTCCATAAACCAACCTCAACCTCTCCTTCAAAATCCCTAAAACCACTGTCTCCGCCGTGACCTCCACATCTACAACACTCTTAACTAAATCCATTGCTCAATTCCCCTTCTCTGACTCGACCAAATCAATCACAACCCCCGTAATTCTAGCCGGAATTGTATCCAAATCCCTGATTCGGAACTCTCCGCCACGATTGTAAGCATAGCCCTTCAAGGTTTTTTTTTTTTTTTTTGTGTTTTCACAGTTTTAGATCTGGGGAAAATCTAACGATAATTATCAAATTCCATAATCCTAGAGTTTGGTTTCATACACATTCCTGAAAGAATGGGCAAGGTCGGAGGCGAAGAAGAAGGCACAGTCATCAAAGCTCCAGCTATCTCATCAAGCTTACCCAGGTTTATCTATGGTAATTTCTCTTCACATCCATAACTGTTATAAGCAAATCCGAGCTTACTTTTCTTTCTGCTCTTCTGATTCTCGTCTATTTGAATACTCAAGTACGACTCGAAATATACTCGTTTGGTTCCTCTATTCTATGAACACAACGATGTAAGTAACATTCCTTTGTTTCTTACTGCATTGGATTCCAATTTCAGCTTTCAATTTTTTCACCTTGTTGGAATTGTAGATATCGCCAATGATCTTTCTGGAAACCAAAGTATGTCGAACTTTCTTTTTTTGGGTTAAAGACAACAGTAAATCATTTTGCTGTTGACTAAATTTTGATGCAAGAAATACTTACCATTCATAATTTTTTATTTTGTTGCTGACAAAGGTTTTGTTTTAACTTAGACAGCCCAATTACGTGATCTGTCTTAATTCATTTTCGTTCTTCCATGTCAACTGATAGCATACTAATCTACTTCTTATACGTTACTCTAAATGTTATTTCTCAGGTCTAACTACCGTGAATTGTCTTATCATCTTCTATTGGTTATACTTTCAGATATGGAGTATCAATAGGCTTACAGCAGTTATCACTTTCAGAAACCGGTTAGTTTGTTATCTTTTAAGATTGTATGATAAGGTATTTGAGCTGAATTGAAGACATAGTGAAATTGACTTGATAAAAACATAGTAATATTATCCTTTATTTGTTTTTTAAAAGATAAAAACAAAGCTTGTAGCAGATTCACCAATAGTTTTTACAATAAATGATTTATAACAGTTCATCACTTGTTTTGAGAAAGTAGCTATAGAATACTTCAAAGATCTATTCACGACAGCTCAACAAGGTTTAGAAAAAGTAGCTATAGAATATTTCAAAGATCTATTCACTACAGCTCAACCACAAGATTTTGAGGAAAATCTCTGGTATGTTAATGCGCGAGTAACTGCATATAACAATGAGAGTTTAACATGTAAACCATCAGAGGTAGAGATAAAGAAAGCCCTCTTTTCTATCAATCTAGAAAAGGCTCTAGGTCTGGATGACATGATAAGTCTCTTCTTCAGACGGTTCTGGAAGGTTCTCTCGAGAGACATTATCAGGATGGTGCATGACTTTTTTGTGTAGGATAGTTTCGACCCACGGCTAAACCAA